CGCCTTTCCCAGAGGATCCTAAAACATTTCACATCTACATCCAGTACATATAATACTTCTGAAGTACTGTCACCTCTTGGCCAGCAGCCATACAGACATGCAGTGCAAAGTGTGCAATATAACAGAGAGAGAAAGGTACAGTTGGCTAAGGGACAGGGCCGGCTCCAGGCACCAGCGTAGCAAGCTGGTGCTTGGGGCGGCACATGGAAGGGGGCGGCATGTACGGCTCTTCGGCGGCAGGTCCCTCACTCCCTCTCGGAGGGAAGGACCTGCCGCCGAATTGCTGCAGAAGAATGAAGTGGCGGTGGTAGAGCTGCCGCCGATCGCAATCACATCTTTTTTTTTTTTTGGCTGCTTGGGATGGCAAAAACCCTGGAGCCGGCCCTGCTAAGGGAAGCAGGATAGAACTATAGTTTAAGAAGAGTGTTGTAGGATCTATATTGTCCAAGCAGAGTACATCCAGATTTTGTTTGTTTTAAAGATTCATCCAAAAGACCTATCCATAGCAAACTCAGTTTATCTGAATAGTCAAGTTGCCTTCTCTTGCTAGTCTCCATTTCTATCAGGCTACTATAAGCTGAGTGTTCTAGCTCATGCAGTAGGTGATTTTTAGCTACAGCAGTTATACAGACTACTGAAGTAGCTTTTCATTGAAAATGCTTGATAGCAGTATCTGTAAGTCATATTAAGATTTTAAGGTTTTTTATTAATATTGAGCTGGTATGAGAGTTTGGAAACCAGTGGGTGAAAGTTATCTTCTGATTGAGCTATTGTAGTAGTCATATCATGTCTAAATCTCAGTAATGACAGACTGATATATTTAGATAATTTCATTTACATGAGGTACAGTACTATGTATGGTGAAGGAATATGGGTGAGGATGTGACTGGTGAAAATCTGTTTTCTCCTCTTTGTAATTATTTCTTAAAATAAATACTGTGATACAGACCTGAGCTGTAAAAACAAGTAAAATGTGTATTTCCCCCTTCAAATAAACCTGCACCATATATCACTCCCATTCAACCTGTGAATTTTGTAAAGACTTGTGATACATTAAATTTGCAATGCAACTCTTCCAACAAAGGTGAAATCCCAAGTTTTATAAATGTTTTATTTTTTTTAGAAGAGATGGGTTGAAATAAGACGAAGGTTTCTGACCGTCAGAGGGGTGAAATATTGGAACAGCCTTCCGAGGGAAACGGTGGGGGCGAAGGACCTGTCTGGTTTCAAGATTAAGTTAGATAAGTTTATGGAGGGAATGGTTTAATGGAAAAGCATGATTTTAGCCAAATCGAATACCGTGCCTTGGTAGGTAAATAGCATAATGGCCAATGAGGGTCAGGC